CTTTGGTATGTTTTGCATACACAATCATGTTATCTGTGAACAAAGACAATTTTATTTCTTCCTTCCCAATATATATATACTTTATATTCTTTTCTTGTCTTTTTGCATTAGCTAGTAGTTTCAGTGCGATGTTGAATAATAGTAGTGAGAGAGGACATCCTTGGTTTGTTTCTGATCTTAAGAGGAAAACATTCAGTTTCTCACCACTAAGTATGACGTTAGCTAATGTATTTTTGTAAATGTTCTTTATTAAGTTGAGGAAGTTCCCCCTTTATCTTTAGTTTTCTCAGATTTTTTGTCATGAATAGGTTTTTGATTTTGTCAAGTAATATTTATGCAATTGGTACAATTATATGATTTTTTTTTAGCCTGTTGAAGTTATATATTATATCAATTGATTCTAACGTTGAACCAGATTTGCGTGCCTGGAGTAAATCCCACTTGGCTGTAGTGTATAATTCTTTTAATACTTTGTTGGATTTGATTTATAAACATTTTTTTGAAGATTTTTACATCTATGTTCATGAGAGATATTGGTTTTTAGTTTTCTTTTCTTGTAATATCTTTGTATGGTTTTGATAGTAAGATAGTGCTGGCCACATAAAATGAGTTGAAAAGTGTTTCCTCTTGTTCAATTTTCTGGGAGAGATTTTAAAGTATTGGCAGCATTTCTTCCTTAAATGTTTGGTAGAATTCACCAGTAGAAACCATGCGGGATTGGTGCTTCCTTCTGTGGAAGGTTATTAATTATGTATTAATTCAATTTCTTTAATAGATATAAAGCTATTGAGATTATGTAGTTCTTGTGTGTTAGTACTTTATGTCTTTCAAGGAATTTCATGTGAATTATCAAATTTCTGGGCCTAGAGTTGGTAATGATATTACTTTCTTACTCTTTTAATGTCTATGGAATCATTTTTAATGACCTCGTTTTCATTTCTGATGCTGCTGATTTGTGCCTTCTCTTTTTTATCATTGGTTAGCTCAAGTAGAGTGTTAGCGGTTTTATTGATCTCTTCAAAGAACCAGCTTTTGATTTTACTGATTTTCTGGTTTCAATTTACTGATGTCAGCTCTGATTTTATTATTTTTTTCTGCTTGATTTAGATTGAAATTGCTCTGATGTCAGCTCTGATTTTATTATTTTTTTCTGCTTGATTTAGATTGAAATTGCTCTACGTGGACGTTAAATTGCCTAAGGTGAAAGTTTAGATTATTGATTTCAGATCTTTCTTCTATTCTAGTATATGCATCATTTCTACAAATTTCCCTTCAAGCATCGCTTTTGCTGCATCCTGCATAATTTTGATAGGGTGTATTTTCCATTTCAGTGCGTGAAGAGTTGTCTTGCTGGAACAGTTAGGCATGCATGTGTGAAAAAAATTAACTTTTATCCATACCTCACATCTTAGACAAAAATTAAGTAAAAATGTATCTGAGACTTTGATGTAAAATCCAAAACTATAAAATATCTAGAAGAAAATTTAAGAAAAATCACTTTGTGACCTTGGGTTAGGCAAAGAGTTTTTAGATGTGACATCTGAAGCAAGCTCCATAAAAGAAAGTATTGGTAACCTTAACTTTATCAAAATTTAAACTTTTATTCTACAAAAGACAGTAAGAAAATTAAAAGAAAAGCCATAGACTAGGAAAGAATAATCGCAAATCACATTATCTGACAAAGGACTTACATCAGAATATATAAATAGCTCTCAAAGTTCAACAATAAGGAAACAAACAACCCAATTTTAAAAATAGGCAAAAGATCTGAAGATACACTTCACCAAAGTAGATACACAGATGATTAATAAGCATATGAAAAATACTGAGTATCACTTTTCATTAGGTAAATGCAGATTAAAACCACAATGAGATACTTCTACACACTTATTAGAATTTATATAATTAAAAATCAAACAAAACCAATAATATCAAATCCTGGCAAGGATGCAGGTGACTAAAATTCTCATTCATTCTTGATAGGAATGCAAGATGGTACAGCAACTTTGCAAAAACTGTTTGACAATTTCTTATAAAGTTGAACATTCACTTATCACATGGCCCAACAATCATACTCCTGGACATTTAACTATGAAATGAAAACATACCTTCACACAAAATGCTGCATGAAGTTTTATTAATAATTGGCAAAAACTGGAAACAGTTCTAATATCCTTCAAGTGGTAAATGGATAAAAATCTGTTGTATATTCATACAGTGAAATATATTTAGTGATGAAAAGTAATGATACATGTAATAACATGATTGATTCTCAAATGCATTTTGCTAGGTAAAAAACAGCCAAACTTGTAGGCTATATACTGTATCATTCATTTATATGGCATTCTTGAGAAGGCAAAGCTCTAGGGATTAAGAACACATCAGTGTTCTTCAGAGGTTGGGGCAGGATGAAAGAGTTTGGGGGACTAATGAAACTGTTCTGTACCATGATTTTGGTGATGAGTACATGATTCTATGCAATTGAGTCAAAACCCATAGAACTATACACCATAAAATGGAATTTTACGTAAATTTAAAAATTAACTTATAGATGCTAAAAAATAAACAATGATAATATAAAAAACATTTTCTATTGTAGGAAAAAATGGCACTTGATATCATTTCCTCCTGAAAAACAAATGAATGAAAGATAATTATAAAAATTTGAGGTGAAATTAAAGAAGTTTGCAGACAAAAAAAATCTTAGGGAATTCATTGCCCCCAGGCCTACACTATAAAAAATATTAATTTAAATTCTTTAGGCTGAAGGATGATGAGCCCAGATGGAAGTACAAAGCTAGGAGAAAAACTGGAAAACATTGGGAAGGGTAAATATATAAGAAAATAGAAAAGTATAATGGCTATTCAAAGCATAAATTATAACAGTGTGTCATGGAGCTTATAACATGTAAAAATGAACGTTACAGCACAAAGAGTGGAAGGAGTACATGGAGTTAAACTGTTTCAAGGTACCTGCAATGTTTGGGAAGAAGTGAAAGTATTAATTTGTGGTAGACTAGAAGTAAAGGATGCATATTATAATAACTAAAGAATAAGACAAAAGATCTAATTGGAAAGTTAAGAGAGGAGATAAAATAGAATCAAATAAAACTTGATTATTAGCCAAGTAGTTAATAAACATCTAAAATGGTGCTCAATATCATTATTGCTCAGGGGAATAAAAACCAAATCCACAATGAGATATTAGTATATACTCACTTGTTAGAGCTACCTACAATTGTGAAACAAACCACCCCAAAACTTAGTGGCCTGAAACAATAACAATGATTATTTTTCCGAATTCTTCATCTGAACTGAACTGACTTGGGCAGTTCAGTTCCATGTTGCTTTTGCTGGAGTTGGAACTTCCAGGATGGTTTCTTCACTCGTCTGGCACCTCAGCTGTGTTGGTTGGAACAGCTGGGGCCCAGCTGAACATTCCATGCTAATGTTCCTGCCTTCCTTCCACCTCTCCATGTCGTCTCTCCAGCAGCATAGCCAGAGATCTTTGTATGGTGAATCAGGCCTATTAGAGTGAGTGTTCCAAGAGAACAAGTCCCAGAGTGCAAGTGTTTATCAAACTTTTGCTTGTGTCACACTTGTAAATGTCCCATTAGCTAAAGCAAATCACAGAGCCAGGACCAAAGTTAGTGTGGAGGAGAATACACAAGGGCATGAATATCTGTAATAGTAGTCTACTGTACTGCAAGAATGATTAACATTTTAAAATATTGACATACCAAAGTTGTTGAGGATGTGGAGCAACTAAAACTCTCATAAATTGCCAGTAGAAGTGTAAATTGGTGCAACTATTTCAGAAAACTTTGGCAGTATCACTAAAGCTAAACATAGATCTACCCTATGACCTAGCAGTTCTACTCCCAAGAGAAGTGGGTAATTGTATCTACAAAAAGACTCATGAGAATGTTCTTAGCTTTATTCATGAATGTCCAAAACCAGAAACAACTCAAATGTGTATCAACAAGATATTGGATAAATAAATTACAGAATGGATAAATAAATTACAGTGAAATAATACACAGCGATAAATAGAAATAACCCTTGCTATGCTTAATAGCCTGGATGAATCTCACAGACATTATGGTGTGTGAAAGAAACCACACAAAAGAGTCTGTATTGTATGCTTCCATTTATAGGAAAACCAGCTGTCCTGTTTTTAGCACTGAAAAGTCCACATCTGGGAAACTCCTCAATTCCAGGCAAACTAGAATGGCTAGTCATGCCACATTCATGTGAAGTTTCAGAATAAGCATGGTTAATCCATGTTTATAGAAGTCAGAATAGACGTTACCTCTGGGTTGCATATGAAATAGAAAAAGCCAAGAAGAAACTCCCTGCAGTGTGAAAATTCTCTACTTCTTGAGCTAAATGGCAGTAACATGGGTATATACACATGTAATAATTATTAACTGTACACTTAAGATTAGTGCATTAGTTTATGCATGTTACTACTATATGAATGTTATACCTCAATAAAAATTTAAAAATAAAAAACCAAAATGCATTTCTACTGTTTACTGGCTATGTGATCTTAGCAATTTCTTGAAACAGTCTGAGCTTAGCTTTCTCACATGTGAAGTGAAGATAACGGTAATTCTCTCTCATGGTTGTTGCAACATTAAATCAAATGATATTTATAAAGTGCCTACCATATAGTAGATATTCAACTATTATTGGATCATATCTCTTCAAATCTGAAGGTAAATGCATTTCCCAAAACAAAATTTTCTATTTCTGGAGTTTCACAGAACTTTCCATGATTGTGACACGCATTAGCTTCTGACAAGTTATTTTCTTGAACAAATTTTCCTCTCGGCAATCACTATCAGTGATGAAAACAGAGCGGGAAGCTACATCCTAGCAGCTAAGAATAATAGCAAGCAATCTTTTGAACTATTTGGCTTGAGGAAAGGAAAAAAAGTGAGTGAATCACGAGAGTGGTTCACCACATCATGACGTATTTCCCATTGTTTTCTCAGGAAATGCTTTCTACTTCCCGTGAGATGCTTCCAGGAAACTTTTGCTGAACAGTAACCAGTTGGTGTGAGCTCTTCTGGAGCCATCCTCATGCTGAAAGTAACTTGGTTGTCCCATTTCGGTGTGTGAGAGATGGCAGAATGCCTACTTCCCTTCCCTCAGGTCACTTATGGCTTATATTGTAGCTCTCAGAAGGAATGTCTGTAAGGGACTGTCTTGCAACACTAAAGGTAAGTCAATTCTAAGTGTTGAGCAGTGTGTCTTGATAATTGCAGGTCCTGCACTCTGCAATCCCACTTCATTCACTAGCTTTTATGCCTTTATGGAATGAAATGTTCAGGTTTCTCTCCAGTTGAAAATTCCTAAGCATTCAGTAGGTCTATAAACCTGACCAGGAATTCCTGTGACTTTTGGAGACAACTTGGCAGAGTGCTAGGAGTACTGTATGTCCCTGCCATCCAGTACAGTGCAATATTCTATTTGATTCTCTATTTAAATAATTTCTGTGAAAAGTTTACATTATAAGTAAATATATAGAAAGATATTCTTTAACAGTATTTTCTTCTGAGTATAATTCTTCTGAGAGGTTTTTTTCTTATTTTTAAAATTTTTTGCTTATTTTATTGTATTGAGGGGATAATGGTTTATAACATTGTGAAATTTCAGTTGTACATTATTATTTATCAGTCATCATATAAATGCACTCCTTTACCCTTTATGCCCACCCCCAACCCCCTTTCCCTCTGGTAACCACTAATCTGTTCTCTTTGTCCATGTGTTTGTTTATCTTCCACATATGAGTGAAACCATATGGTGTTTCTCTTTCTCTGTATGGTTTATTTCATTTAACATAATACCCTCAAGGTCTGTCCATGTTGTTGCGAATGGGACAGTTTTGTCTTTCTTTATAGGCGAGCAGTATTCTGTTGCATATATATATACCATGTCTTCTTTATGCATTCGTTAATTGATGGGCACTTGGGTTGCTTCAATGATTTGACTGTTGTGAATAATAGTGCAATGAACATAGGGGTACATATATCTTTATGCACTGGTGTTTTCCTGTTCTTTGGATAAATACCCAGCAGTGGAATAGCTGGATCATATGGTAGTTCTATTCTTAATTCTTTACTGTTTTCTATAGTGGCTTCACCAGTTTGCATTCCCTTCAGCAGTGTATGAGGATTCCCTTTTCTCCACATCCTCTACAACATTTGTTATTTTTTGTCTTGGTGAGTATAGACATTCTAACGGGTGTAAGGTGATATCTTAGTGTAGTTTTCATTTTCCTTTCCTTGATAATTAGTGATGTTGAACATCTTTTCATGTGCCTATTGGCCATCTGTATGTCTTCTTTGGAAAAATGTCCTCTGCCCATTTTTTGATCGGGTTGTTTGCTTTTTTGTTGTTGAGTTGTGTGTAAGTTCTGTATATATTTTGATATATAAATGTCTTTGATAAAGATATATATATATATATATATATATATATATATCTTTCCAATTCTTTATGTCATCATCAATTTCTTTCAATAATGTCTTATAGCTTTCATTGGATAGGTCTTTCACCTCCTTGGTTAAATTTATTGTGAAATATTTTATTCTTTTTGTTGCTATAGTAAATGGGATTATATTCTTGAGTTCTCTTTCTGTTAGCTCATTATTAGAGTATAGAAATGCAACTGATTTTTGTAAGTTGATTTTGTACCCTGCAACTTTACTGTAGTTGTTGATTATTTCTACTAGTTTTCCAATGGATTCTTTAGGGTTTTCTACATATAAAATCATGTCATCTGCAAACAGGAAGAGTTTCACTTGTTCATTGCCAATTTGGATACCCTTTATTTCTTTTTCTTGCCTAATTTCTGTGGCCCAAACTGCCAGTACTATGTTGAATGAGTGGTGACAGTGGGCACCCTTGTCCTGTTCATTTTCTCAGAGGGATGGCTTTCAGTTTTCCCCATTGAGTATGATGTTGGCAGTGGGTTTGTCATATATGGTCTTTCTTATGTTAAGGTACTTTCCTTCTATACCCATTTTATTGAGACTTTTTATCATAATTGGATGTTGGATCTTGTCAACTGCTTTCTCTGCATCTATTGAGATGATCCTGTGGTTTTTATTCATCATTTTGTTAAGGTAGTGTATCACATTGATTGATTTACAGATGTTGAGCCATCCCTGCATCCCTAGTATAAACCCTACTTGATCATGGTGTATGATCCTTCTAATGTATTGCTGTATTTGGTTTGCCAATATTTTGTTGAGGATTTTTGCATGTATGTTCGTTAGCAATGTTGGCCTGTAATTTTCCTTCTTTATGTTACCCTTGTCTGGTTTTGGGATCAGGGTGATGTTGGCCTTGTAAAGTGTGTTAGGAAGTGTTCCATCTTTTTTGACTTTTTGGAATAGTTTGAGAAAGATAGCTATTAAGTCTTGTTTGAGTGTTTGGTAGAATTCTCCAGAGAAGCCATCTGGTCCTGGACTTTTATTTTTTTGGAGGTTTTTGATTATTGTTTCACTCTCTTTACTTGTGATTGGTCTGTTCAGATTCTCTATTTCTTCTTGATTCGGTTTTGGGATGTGGTATGAGTCCAAGAATTTATCCATTTCTTCTTGGTTTTCCAATTTATGGGCATATAGTTTTCATAGTATTCTCTTATAATTCTTTGTATTTCGGTGGTATTCATTGTAATTTCTCCTCTTTCATTTTCTAACTTTATTTATTTGAGCCTTCTCTCTTGTTTTTTTAGTGAGTTTGGCTAAGGATTTGTCCATTTTGTTTACCTTCTCAAAGAACCAGCTTTGTCTTTCCGAATTTTCTTGTAACTCATTGAGTTTTTATATGATAGCTATTTTGAATTCTCTGTCACTTAGATTGTAAATTTCTGTGCCTTCAGGATTGATTTATGAGTGGTTGTCATTTTATTTCTCGTCTGGAGTATTAATATATGTCCTCATATTACTTGATGGGGTGGATTTATGTCTTCAGGTATTGGTAGTCTCTAGTAGCAGATTCTATCTGCCGCCACTGGGAGTGGGCAGGAGCTGTGTATTCTGAGCCGTCTGCAATCTCTGGCATCTGTGCCTGTGCTTTGGAATCTATGCTGAAAGGTCCCATCTACAATTGTCTGCTCACAATTGCTGCTTTACTAATGTATACGCAGGTGCTCTGGCAGGGGTCCCTTGCTCTGGCCGACCAACCATGCAGGTGCACCAGGCAAGGGGAGGGATGCTTTCCTTCCTGTGCACAATCCCAGGGATGTTCTGGCTCTGCCCTCACTATCTGCCCTCCTGGGATGCTGGCTTGATGAAGTCACCCCTGCATTGGCTTAGCCTCCTCTGTGTGGAGCTTTCCCAGATCTGGGAGGCAATTCAGACAGCGAAGGCATTCCTGCAGAGAGACCCCCTCCCCACTCTCCTTTCAGCACAGTGCACAGTCCTGCACCCGAGGTTGCTGCTGGGGATGGAGAGGAGATCCCCTTACCTCCTTCCACTTCCTCCGGGCGATCCAGCATCTCCACTTTCAGACATATGGCTGTGTGGGTCTCTCAGACGTCTATTGTGTTGTGTGAATGTCTTCTGTTGGTTTATGAATGTCCTTTTCATTGTATCTTAGAGGGGAGAGTCTAAGGGAAGAGCTCACTCCATCATGATACTGATATCACACGCATCTGTCTTTTTGAGATTTTTTTGAAGTTACAGTTATTCAGAAGAGATTTGTAATTAAGGAGTAAATCCCTATATGTTGTTTACAATGAGGACAATTCTAATTCCCATGAAACAATGTGGGATTAGAATTAAAAATCTGGGTTTGAATCTAGCTCTACTCTATAAAACTGTGCAACCTGGACACATTACATAAATACTCTGCATCTGAAAATTGAACAGTAAATAATACCCGCCCCTCAATATTGTTGTAAAGCATTTATAAATCATGTGTGTGAGAGAAGCTAACACAGCACTGTTTCCTTAATAAGTGCTTCATTTATGGCAGATTTATGCCATTCATTTTCACCCAAACGGTTTCTCAAAGCTCAGGAGGTTGACACTGAGAGCAGGTAGTCAGGACAAGGATCAGAATGATGATATCTTTACCTCGGCCACACAAACCAGTCCAGACACATACACATGTCTTCAGCCCATGCTAATATTTCCTCTGCTTTCTGTGTTTTGGCCTTGATCCGGTGCTCTACTATTGGGAAAGGTTCCATGCAACAAATGCCTGATAAGCCCTTGAGAAATGTTAAATAGCAAAGTCATTAATTGCCTCAAGGAATGAACTGATCCTTGCTTCTCTCTCGGAAAATCAATAGTTCCTTGCCAGGTTTCTGAAATGAAGAAACTGAGCTTTACAAAGCATTGAAGATTTTAAGGTCTAGACTCTTTCTTCCTTCTTCTCCCCCTCCCTCCTTCCCTTTCTTCTTCTTTCCTTCCTCCCTTCCTTTTGCCTTTGTATCCCTATGTCTCAAAAGGAAATTCTGCACAGATTAGAGATATTGGCCCAGAGCAAAAGTGGCTTGTACCTTATGTTGAAATGAATTTCTAATTTATTTCACAGAGAAGCTTAGCCACAACTTTTGTACATTTTTTAATAGTCTGAATTCCATTTGTAGCATTTAATAAATGGATTTGATGCTAGGAATGATATAAAAATTTAGCTTTATTGAAACTTGTTGCTTGAATTGAAAGCAACCTGGAGTATTTATGGCCTCTGTCCACTTACATTTTGAGAACATCCAGTAGTAGAATGGTTGCAGTGGTCAGCATGGTTGCTCAACCCTTGCCTTCTCTGGGGGTTGGGAGGAAAGTGGACAGTTTAGAACTTAGAAGTGGACTTTGTGGCATGAATTTTGGAAATGAGAATTGCTGAGGCCTCCTTTTCATATCTTCCATGATGCCTGACATTCTATAATTAAAACCCAATTCTTTCACTTAAGACCTAGTTTTTTGGTAAATAAGCTAATCTCCTCCATTTGCACCTCTATTCTATCCCTGGGTCCTGGAAAACCCTCTCCTCTCAGGTGATATTAAATGTCGTGGAGAGCAATCTAAGGTGCAGTGGCCTATACCACTTGGAAACCCACAGTCAGCACCTCTCTGGGGGAGGGAGCAATCTGCCTTCTCCCAGACTGCCTCCTGGGTATCTTAGTTTTCTTTCTAAGCAGGAATTCCAAACATTACCCAGTAGCTCGCTCTCTCTAGACCAGGAAGGGGTTAGCTTCATTATA